TTTTTATATAAAAATAAATCAATGACGGTGAAAAATCCAAATCAGATGCATTTACAATTGTACTTGTTGAGGATTATGTGGCTTCCTCCAGCTGGTACTAATACAAGAATTGCAAGGGAAGAACACAGCACCAGCAATGAAGAAAGTAAAAGGCAGAAGGCAATTAAAAAAATGGTAGACATATAGTTCAAAAACCTTTAAAAGTGATTCAACAAGTGATTCAAAAAAATGGGCATGAGAAAATGAGAAATTTTTCCTTTAAGGAAACTAAAGAGAATGGATGAGTTTTAATTCGTACCTCTATTTCTAGTTTAACTTCTTCATAACCCAATTTCTCTTCATCCTTTTTTCGAATTTTTTTCCTCCAATCTCCTTGCAGTCTCATGAAATATTGTTCAATATAGTCTCATGAATACAAAGTAGGGAAATATAGCAGTATAGCATGACTACCTTCAAAGCACAACCTACTCTGGCCATCAATATGATTCCCAGATAGACAGCATCATCTCCATTAAAAAGCCTTGCAACCTTCTCATAATGTGGCTGACAAATTGTATATTTAACATTGAGAAACATAATTATGAGATAGAAAACAACAATATAAGATGAATCAAAATAAACCTTGTAGTTTCTGCAAGTCGGGCACCTGCAAGACCAATAATTGAAAGTATAATTAGAAAAGTATCATAGATTTCAGCATACAATACTCAAGGCAAACTCCAAACTTATAATCTTTGATAGTTGTGCTTTAACATATCTCAGCAACAAAACTTAAACTTGTCGCCAGGTATTAGCATATGCACATACATGTTCATCAAATTATAAATTGTGAATGAGTTTCTCATCTTAAATTCAATCAATTCTTTAGAACCCAATTTCTCTTCAACCCTTTTTCGAATTTCTTCCTCCAATCTCCTTGCAGTCTCTTTAAAAGTGATTCAACCAGTAAATTTTGAATTAATAACATTCAAACAGAACAAGAACCAATTTGATTAAACTAAAATTGAAATGAGCACACATTTTGGGTTACGTGAATCTTGGAATGTATGCTTGGAATCCAAACCCAAAAAACCTCTCTATTTCTGAGTTCAAAAAAATGGGTATGACAAAATNNATTTTTCCTTTATTAGGGAAACTAAAGAGAATGGATGAGTTTTAACTTTTAATTCGTACCTCTATTTCTAGTTTAACTTCTTCAAAACCCAATTTCTCTTCAACCCTTTTTCGAATTTCTTCCTCCAATCTCCTTGCAGTCTCTTCTTCTAATTGTTTAAGCTCTGCCTCATGCTGTAGTCTTTTCTGCACTGTAGCACAAGTTGATCCCATATCGGAATCCTACAGATGAAGGCCAAGAATTTTTGCCTATAAATAAATGGGCCAACATAATCTTTAATTTCATATGCTTCCTGGGCCTGTCAATTGATGGGTTGGAAGTTGGAGAGTTTATAGTTAATATTTATATTATATTTATTAATAAATTGTTAAATAAAAAAAATTTAAAAATAAATTTAAATTACGTTTATAGTTGCGCGTTTTAGTGGTCAACGCATTTTTACACGCATATGATGAATGCGACGCGTTTTGGTCACGAATCACGTTTAGGCACGCCTAGGCGGCGCCTTTTGCCGTGTTTTAGAACACTGATTAGAATCCATTAAAACCTCTCTTAGGAAAACCAAACTTGGAAGGTTTTTTAAAATCCACTAAATTCTTCGTTGATGAGACCCCATTAGATTGTGTGAGTTGAGGAGTGAAGCTTGAGTCACTGGGTAATTTTGAAGTGCACAATAACTACCAAAACCATTTTGGCTTGCTCATGTTCAACAACAAATGGATCCATCTTCACTTGGTGGTGGGGGCATGGAAGGAGTTTGGGCTGGGCAGGGCAGGGCAGGGTAGGGTTGGGTTGGGTTGGGTTGGGCGAAGGATTTTAAAGAAGAATGTGCCTTTTGGAATTTTATTTTTCTTTTTTCTTTTATTTTATTTTACTTTTAAAATTAAATTATAAGACATTTTGACCCTTCTAAATTATGTCATCTACAAAGAAGTGCCTACTTAAGTGAACAAATTGACGGCACGTGACAAAAAGTACCTTTTGCGCCAGAATTGAGTTCCATTTTTCCAAAAGTGTAGGGGTCGTTCTTTTTATGTTTCAGTTTTGTATTTTGAGTTTTGAATTCATTTTGAATTTTGTATTTTAAGTATCCATTTTGAAATTATTGAAAATGTATTCTTTTTGACATTTTGAAAATTTGTTTTCAAAAATCAAAAATTGAAAAACTGGTTCTCTTTCTTCCTTCCTTTCTCGTCTCCCTCTCTTATTCCCCTCTCTGTCATCTCTCTCTCTTCTTCCACTCCTTTCAGTCGACGAACAGCGACAGTGGCTGCGATCGGTAAGTGGTGTGCAACGGTGATTGGTTGTGGCTGCGATCGCCGATGGCTCGTCTCTCTCTCTCTCTCTCTCTATCTATCTCTCTCTCTCTCTCTCTCTCTCTCTTTTACACTATGGCGGTGGTTGGTTGTGGTTGTGGCGGTGATGAGTGGTGGTTTTGGGTGCATGGTGTGTGATAGTGGCATGGTGCAGGTTGTAGCTGTAGCGATGGTGTTTGGGTGTATAGCTGTGGTGGTGGTGTGCGTGCTATGGCGGTGGTTGGGTGCTGTGGTGTAGCGTGATTGTGGTTGTGGTGTAGCGGTGGAGGTTCTGTGACGATTTTGGCGATTTTTGTGGTAGTGGATCTGGCGTTGTATGGTGGTAGCTGCAGTGGTGGATCCAACGGTTGTGTGGGAGTGGTGTGGTGAGACGGCGGTTGTGGCGACGACAGTGGTGTGGTGAAGGCGGCGTTGATGGTGGTTGGAGTGACGTTAAACTGAAAACACCCAAAACACGTTTTGAAAATTTTGGCTTGATTATAACTGAAAACACCCAAAATGACAAATTTGTCGTTTTAGGTTTTTCTTTGTAAATTTTTAACTTGTTTTCAAAAACGCGTTTTTGAAAATAGGAAAGGGAACACGTTTTCATTGTTTTAAAAAATCGAAAACGGAGAATGACTTGAAAAAGGGAAAAAGAATAGGTCCGCATTTTTTCAAAACTCATTTTCAACTACACATTCTTTCATAATAATATTATACGTAAATTCATAATTTTTCCTTATTTTTTAACTACACATTTCTAAAAAAATCAATTTCAAAACAAATTTTCTCCAAAAAATTTATTTTAATGATTCCCAAACTGGGCTAAATGAGAATGCAAATACAAACTTTGCCACAACAAAGATGCATGATTATTGCAAATAGGACAAACGAAAAATAAAATTGGTGTGATAATTCAACTAGCCGAGAAATTTAATGTATATCCTAAGGGGGTAGTTGATGATGTTGTCATGAAAGTTGATTATGTTCTCGTGAAAAGTAATGGGTTGGTTTTTCCTGCTGATTTTCATGTGTTTGACATGGATAATAGTAATCATACTACCTCTAT